CGGAGAGGGCGGGGCGGGGCGGGGCGGGGCAGAGCCGGGCGGCCGCCCCCACCCTGCGCCGCACGTGGGGCGCCTGATGTAAGAGCGGCTGGGCTCTTCGCGCCCCTGGGGTTGGGACCGCGCCCCTCCGCGCCCTGCCCAGGGCCTGCAGGGCAGCTCTGAAGGAGGCCACGCATCGGGGCCACCGGGACTACGCCGGTGGGGTCCGCCGAGGCTTCCCCAAGCCAGCCCGACGAGAAGGGAAGACCGCCCCAGGCAGAGGCTTTGGGGTTCGCCTGTGTACCACCCTGGTCTGGGACAGGCAGCCTGGATCCTTGGCCGAGTGACGTCGGGAGTGCCCCCACCAGGACCCCGACCCCACGGAGTCGCTGCTGGCCGGAGTTGGCGACTGAGCGGCTGCGGGGATAGGGCCACTCGGGCCAAGCCTCCCAGCAGTCCTCCGTCCCCCGGGTGTCGAAGGATCTATGTCGGGTTTTTCTTTTCCTTAGCTTTTTAATTTAAGCTAAGGAAAGAATTGGCGTCGGTAATGAGCCCCTCAGCGGAGGAGACCTGGCAGAAAGCGTTTTGTCATTGTCAGGTTTAGAGTGTCAGGGCGCTAGAGCACCAGGCTGAGAAGAGTGCTTTGCAGAGCATTGGGAAGTATGTTAAGTTCAGCTTAAACAAATTGGCTATATGGTGTCATATCAGAGATCTTAAGACAGGAGGCCTGAAAGAATAAAAACAATTTATAAGAGGAAAAGCATCCTATGTGTTAAGGTTCCAAGGACACACTCCTCGTTGTCTTTCCCATTTGCCTTAATGTGACCAAAGAGCCCAACCTTAGTTTTAAATAAATTACCAATTTTTAAAATGTTTAATGAGCTGGGCATGGTGATTCACCCTTGTAATCCCAGCATTTGTAGACTGAGGCAGGGGGATCACCCGAGTTCGAAACCACCCTGGGCTACACACTGAGACCTTTTCTTAAAAAGGTGTGTGTGTTGGGGGGGTGATATAGCTATGGGTGGAGCGCCTACCTCTAAAGCACGAGGTTGTAAGATATTTGGTACCAAAACCAAACCAAAATAACAAAAAAATCTCAATGACTTAACATTTAAAGGCCAGGGAGATGGCTCAGTAGGATAAGTTCTTCACTGGCAAAGGCAATGATCTGAGTTCAATCCCTGGTTCCACCAAAAAAAAAAAAAAAAAAAAGTTTTGGGGGACTCAGGTCAATAATTTCTGACATTGCCAGTTAAACAGAAGACCCAATGCTATTATGGGCTACTGGACTCTTTTAGAATATTTTGCTGAGTTTACACACCTATAATATTCAATAACGGAACTTAGAAAAAATGGGGTAATCAGATGAATGTCCATTTTGTATCTGTGTATTCAAAATGGTTGGGATAGATATATAGTTGCATTCTCTTAATGAATAGAATGATTTGTTCTAATGGTGTTTGTAAATAGGATCACAAGTCCGCATCTTGTACAGCAATTAACCACTAAGAAGAATATATGCAGTGTATTATTTGTTGAAACTGTACTTCCGATTTGATTTGAAACTGTCTCATTGCTATCTGTTTATCAATAAAACTTTGAAAAAAAACATTTAAAGAAGAAAGTTTTAGGATTATGCAGAAGTCAAATGCTTTTCAGTTTGTAGCTTTTTTATTTTCTCATTGCAATGTTAGCAGACAAATTTAGGACAAGAGAACTTGACATGGGTGTGTTCTCTACAGTGTCACAAGAAGGCTGTATAACTATGTGGTCATAGGGATTGTGGGGCTGTGCAGTGAAGCTTTTAACAAAACTACCACATCAGTCCAGAGCTAACAGGCTGTCACTCAGCTTCCTAGGGACTTGATATATTTTTCATTTAATCCCCAGACAGCCCTGTGAAGTAAGGAATAGTAATCCTTGAGCAGATAAGAAGCTGAGGGTCCCACAGCACATCCAGCAGGAGGTGGAGCTTGCATTCAAGCCCAGATGGTTCTGGCTCCCAAGGCTGCCGCCAGCAGCAGTCAACGTGGCCTGGAGTCAGCGTGGGGCTCTGCTTTGGGACAACGGGTTGGGAACAGCTGGAAAGGGCCTTTACTACCAAGCAACATGCAGACATCGTCTTACAGGTAGAGGGAAAATGCCAGAGGAACCCTGACTGCAAGTCTGTACCGACAGTAGTTCATGGGTGGCTTGCGATGGAGGTGGTGTTGATTTTAGGGAGGTTCAGGACACATTTCAAGACCCTGTCCTCTGTAGTCACTCTGGGGTGCGAAGGACCCTTTCCCTGGGGTATATAGCTTACAAGATAAATATATATCTTATGAGATTGAGCTACAAAGTAATTAATACACATAGCCACAATGCACAGCAAATAAAAAGAAAGCAAAATGGCCAAAGGAGGAGACTACAGGCAGGGCACTGTGCCGCCTTAAGCAGCCGGTGCTGGCATGCACCTCCGTGAACAAAGAGCATGTGTTCCAGTGACATGCTTCTTTGTCAGGGGGCTTCACTGCCAGAGGCATAAATAACAGGCAAAACAGGGCGTGTCTCGCTGGCCTGCCAGTCTATGGGACTTGTCATTCCACGGGCCTTAAGGGGCTCTGGTTTTAAGTGTTGCTGTACTTAATGCCATTTGTACACATATCTCTATGTGAGAAAGACACAGAATATACCATTGTACATTTTGTCTGTGGATTTATGGATTTGAATAAGGGCCAGAAGGGACTAAGAAAAAGTGAAAACAGTTTGTTGGGGCAGCTAAACTATGGGTGGATTTCTTTTTATTTCCATTGATGATGATATTTGCCCAGTAAGTATAAAAATACCTAGTGATGCCAAGCTTTGACACTCCATTGAGAAACTGCCTGATAATCAGAATCTGTATGTATTCCAGTAAGCTCTAAGATGTCTGAGAACACTCTAAGCAAGTTTGTAACTCCTTGGACCTGCTCCCCACACCAAGTCCTCAGATGACTCAAACTTTTACAAACTTTGTGGTTCTGCACAGACTTTAATAAATCTAAAAATGAGAGGAGAAAGGCCTGCTCAGGCATTGGTTTAACTGGCCTATAAATTATTTGAAGAGAATGGACACATTTTCTCTTTAGTACAAACAGCATATGAAGGTCACGCATAATGTAGGAGAAGGAAATTAGTATTTTTTTAAACATTTATTTAGTGTGTGTGTGTGTGTGTGTGTGTGTGCGCGCGCGTGTGTGGCCAGCTCAGCCCACCTGGGGGCAGGGCTGGCTGGCATGTGGTGCTGGGGGATCAAACCGCGCCCTGTGCTTTGCCGAGCTTGTTCCAAGTAGGTGCTTTAGACCACTGAGCCATCTCACCAGCCCGTAGTGTTCTTTAAATACTAAGTACTGTCATGCTTTCCCTTTCTCCAATCCACATGTGTATACACTGGTAAGAAATTTCCTCTGGGCCAGGCATGGTCGCCCATGCCCGTGATAGCCGTGATTCCAGCATTCGTGATTCCAGCATTCGGGGAGGCTGAAGCAGGAAGATCTCAAATTTGACCCCACTTGGCAATTTAGCAACTTAGTGAGACCCCATGTCAGTCCTCACCACCACAAAACAAATAGACTCAAATTCCTGCAACATAGTGTGTGTACCGCTGTTTAGAAAAGTTGAGTAATAAACGTTACTCATTGAAAGATCTAACTTCTCAGTTGGACTATGAATTCATACAAATATTTCTGATGACAGGAATGAAGAAGAGAGGGCTGGAGTTGTGGCTCAATGGTAGAGCCCTTGCTAATGGTAGCATGCTTGAAGCCCTGGGGTTGATCTTTAGCACTGAAAAAAAAAAAAAAAAATGCAAGAGTAGGGGACCATCTCTAGAACATAGTAAATACTTTTTTTTTTTTTAATTTTAGGGAGGGGTCTACAGGGTGTTCAGGGTCTCACTACTAGATTGGACTCTAGTGATTCAGGCCCATGCCACCATGCCCAGTCTCAATTGCTGTCTCAGCACACCCTCGGGGGCAGGGCCGGCATGACAGGCCCAGGGATTGAGCCCTCAGCCCCTGCCCCAGCTTGCAGATGCTTTAATCCACTGAGCTATTTGACCAGCCTTAATACTTTGGAACTGTGTTGTACTGAAAAATGTCACATGTACTAAAAATTACCATTTAGGCAATTTAGATTATAGACACAAAGGAAAGGGAGAAGGAAATATCCAAGAGAAAACGTGTTAAGGAATGAGATCTTATGCATCTAACTGTGTAGGCAGCTCCAGGTCCATTAAAAGGCCCCTGTCAGGTGACCCAGGTTCCTTTCTGATCTTTAACCCAGGGTAGGTACCAGGCCCTCCTAACATAGCAGGAGAGCTGACTACCAGGTGTCAGGTCTGAGATTTATTAAGCACCATCTTTATGCCAGGAACTGTGAATGAGACTTTGGTGTAAGTTGCCTCACAGTTAATTCTGGCAGAGCTCCCCGAGACAGGACTACAATCCATCTTTTTTAGTGTTTAGGAGACAGGCGCAAGGAAGCCAAGAGGGATTGCTAAAACTCACGTAACTGGCAAGAAGCAGGACTTCTCTGTCACTGTGGGCTCACTGTGATTCATTCTCATCCCTTCAGTCTACCACTCCTCACATCTCTTCTGGAAAACCATTTT